CCGCTCAACAGCAGGCTCTATGCGCTTTACACTATATTATTACCCCTGCAGACCATAGAACACTCCGAAACATTCTCAGCTTCCTGAAAAGCATACAGTGCAAGCAGCTGATTAAGCGCTAAAATACTAACAAACTGACAAGATCTTTCGTACCTATTCCCACCTGGGTGAAGAGAGGAAAATTCGTGTAAAGTGCCTTTCCAAGGACACAACGTCGGGCCCCTGACGGGATTCGAACCCACGACCTTATATATAACATACTTTATATTTTTACGCCAAATATGGGCAGTTTCGAAAAACCCCGTCCACTTTACAATCTTGTAATAAGAGTTACAGAGAGGATAACTATGTTCCTCAGTTTCGTTTCTACTTTTATTTCTAGAGAATTAGTTTTTACCAATTTCTCAGTTTTGTTGTGAATAGATGTAATGTGTTTTGTCACGGAGCTTTTTACATTTAAAACCCACGATCCTATTATTTGAAAAATATAACAAAAGTTATATTTAGTTTAGTTTTAGCAAGGTTTTACGCGGCTCCCACCCGGATAAGGTCATATGATGAGCACCAGAGGAGTCCAAACGGGGAATCAGGCTTACCCTGCTCCCCTCTCTAGCCTCAACAGCACAAAGTCTACTTCGACTATCAAGGCACCCCGGAAATAGCAGTTCCCAAGAGAGTGACAAGCATACAAAAGAAGTAGAAGAAAAATGATGATAGTAAGGATGAGGAAAGAAAAAGCAGCAGTTCCCCATATTATGTTGTTCCGGCACAGTATTAGAATAACATTGATAAATCAGCCCATTTACAACTTTACTGCCCATAAGAACATGTTAATATACCCCCTCTTTGAGAATGGCCTAAAGACAACTTTAGTCAGTGGCATCGCCCTGGTGGGGAGAACAAAGGTAAATGTGACGAATGGCAGTCCATACTAAACTGGGTGATGTTGTTTGAGTGAGTATTCCACTGTGTGTATATAGAGGGAACTCAGGGGGCTCCTGTGCTTTAGAGGTTATGGTGTTTGCCTCCCTTTCAATAGGTATCGGGTTTGAAATCTGAGAGCTACGGACAACTTTCTTCTTTAAAATTTTCTCCTTTCACCTCTTTCCCTACTCTCTTAACAAGTTCTGTCTTCTGTTTTTGTGTCCACTTTCTCCCCCCCCCCCAATTTCCAATCCTCTCTTATCGTCCATCTTTGTTTCCAGAATATGTTTCTCGAGTGAACTGTGGTGTTTGATGTGCTGAAAGCAGTCCTATTTCAGTTTCATTACGTTCGAGAGGAGTGTCTGCAACTCAGATGAAAAGGTTGTTGCAATCAATAATCAAAGCTCGGAGGTTTCGAGTGTGAGTGGGTGGTTGGCGGATGCTCTGGTGTGGTTTGCTTCTTCCCTATCACACGTCTATCGTTCTGATCTCTCCTCCTGTTTTAAATATTTGTTTGGTGTTTGTTACTCTCTTGTAACAGAAAAGTGGGAAGACATGGAATAACATCAAGAGACTGCTACCCCAGGATAGAGAAAGGTGGAAAGTGTTTGTTCGTGGCCTATACCCGTGTGCAGGGTGAGAAAGGCAATGATGATGATGATGACTCTCTTGTAATACCTCTAATCTTCAGCACTTATATGACCTTATTGTGTTGCAAGTGCAGTAAAACTCTTACTAAACTAAAGACTAAAATTGTGAGTGTATGTTGCGCAGACCAGAGCGGACATGTGAGAACAAGAATTTGTTTTCCGTATCCGTGGAATGCCAGAGGTAAAGTTTATAAATTATAGTGGGGTCAAAAATTCGTGGCTCGACTTATTGTCAAATATCTCCCCAACTATCGGACAAAGCCTCTCCAATTTTTGCACAATGACTTGTATCAATTTGTCTTAACTAATCAACATTTTTGTAAACCCCTGCAAGCTCTATTCTAGAACATTCCTTGATAAATACAAATAAAAATTCCAAGTGGGTGGTTTTTACAGATTTTAAAATGTTTATAGCTGGAGCAATATTTCTTTTATTAGCAAGTCCATCATGTATTTCTAATCGGGACATTATGCTTATTAAACGCATATCTTGAGAACCATTAGTAGTGCAAAAAATGTGTTCACTATAAACATTATTTCTTGAAACTAGTTTTGCAAGTGAAAATTTTCATTGATAAGCTGTGACGTAGGCCATATACGTAATCAAAATGTGTGTGAAAAGCGGGAAGTGATGTGAACAATACCATTTTACGTGTGACAGAGATTTCAAGTATTTTATATAGATTTAAGAAGAAAATTTTTTTAATCTAGCCCCAATTGTTCTGGGAAAATATTATTTAGTCAAGACAAATTTATACAAACTGCTGTGCAAAGTATGGATGACATTGATTCACCCGTTAAAGAGATATTTGGGGATAAGTTGCCCCACGAATTTTTGATCGCACTATAAGAGTAATAATAAAATATTTGTTCGTCGATGTCTGACGATGACCAGTAAGGTTGGTATAAGATGAATGTCAGAAAAAGTTAAGGTGATCATCGATTAAACAGTAGAGAAAATCTTTTCACAAACATTATGAAAAATAGCCCTTTTTATAGCCCAATGATAAAAATTTACAACGTGTAACCCACAGAAAGAGGTATATGTACATCACTTACTATTTTATAATGGAAACTCTATTTAACAACACAAACGATTTTCATGAAATGTTACTCATAACATCATGTCTTTATAATTAAACACCGTTACAAGGAAGTCTCTTCTGTAAAATGTGTATGATTTATGTGATGTGGGCCAATGGCCTTAAACACTAAACAAAATACACACCTAATTACCTACCTATTTATAACCCAGTCAGTTATTTTCTCGGAAAAGTGGGTACCGTAGAATGAGACTCACCTGGGGTGCACTGAGGGGCGGCAGATGTTTAATGAGGCCAGGCCTGTGCTTCAGCTCAAACTCATTAGGCGCTGCCACAGTGGCGTGCATCAAGGAACTCTGAAAAAACAAAAAACAAATCAATTAAATTGAAAATAAATGGATTGAAAATGAGAACTTTTCAAATTTAACTGTATTACCCTTTTGTTCAAATAATATTTCTCCATGTATTTGTTTATACATGGACATATGAATGGTTCAAAGCAGTATCATTAATTATACCAACAAAGAAAACCCCGAAATAAAAACCCTAGAGAAAATCACAAAGACATTGTTCAAATGTTTCCTTTTTTTCCTTAAAAGTCCCCCC